GCTTGTTTTTACACCTACCATCATTATAAGCCTGCAGATTTTCAAGGCTACCGCAGACTGGATCTCGGAGTGAGGGTGGTATTAAGGCAAATTAAAATGTTACAAAGCTAACTGCTTTTACTGTTCATATTGTTGCAAGCCTTTAGATAATTTCTAGTTCTGAAAAAGTTGATTTTGACAATTTTTGTCAGCATTCTCTTTGCTTTTGCAGAGAAGTGAGTTTTCAGGAACTCTTGCTCTACTATTTGGGGAGTGTTTCCTCCTAATCATTCAATTATTTTTCTTCCATGCTTTCTTCTTTTGCCAAGCTATTTTTAAACTTTTTAATTTTATTGTAAGCTGACAATGTACATGTCTATGAGGTACAACATGATGCTGTAATGTATGAATACGATGTGGAATAATTAAATCAAGCTAATATATCATCACTTCAAATACTTATTTTTTGTGGTGAGTACATTTGAAATTTGTTCTCTTAGCAATTTTGAAACACAATATGCTACTATCAACTGTATTCACCATGCTGGATGATAGATCTCAAAAGTAACACAGTATTTCTCCTATCAGTTTAAGATTTTATACCTTTTAACCATTATTTTCCCATTCCCTCCAGCTCCTGTTCTCTTAATAGTATTCTCAGGAGGTGAGATACCTTCCCTTTTGTTATTGAAGAAACTGATGATCAGGGATGTCAGATGACTGACCAAAGAACACATACTTCCCTAGAACTCAAGGCAGGATTCCAACCCCAATAAGCCCGTCTGATTTCAATGTTGTGTATGTCTGACCCCTCCCCCACCGTCTCACCTCATGCATCCTTTCCCTCCAGTCCTTGGTTCCCGCCTCCATGACAGCTGTTTATCCCACAAGTTTATTTAGGAACTGGCCTGTGGGAGGATTGCTCAGCTCTGAAGGTTGCACATACAAAGAATCTTTAAGGAATGTTCTAAGCACTTGCAGATGATGGTTCTGCTCTCAGGTTGACAGCAGGAAGGGAGGCTCTTCCCTCTGAGCTTGGCATCAGGCAGGCCAGTTGCCTGGAGGAATGCTTAAGTGATGACAGAGCTCCTGAGCATCCTTCCTGCTCTCCACGCCACCACGACCGTCAGCTGATGCTGTCTCCAGGTGAGCTTTGACACGAGAGCGCATTACTAAGTCATATACAGGTCACATCCTTGGCAGAAATCCAGCCTGCTCTCAGCTCTACCAGGAAAGGAGGCTCCAAGTTTAGTTCCTTAGGCACCATTGCAGATCATCAGAAGACAGAGCAAATGACACAAAAACTCTGCTCTCATGGGACTAGTCAAAAGGGGGTATGAATGGTGTGTTGGAAGGTGACACATGCCACATAGAAATATAAAGCAAGGGAGCGGCGCCTGTGGCTCAGTGGGTAAGGTGCCAGCCCCATATACCGAGGGTGGCGGGTTAGAACCTGGCCCTGACCAGCTAAAACAGCAATGAGAATTGCAACAAAAAATAGCCGGGTGTTGTGGCAGGTGCCTGTAGTCCCGGCTACTTGGGAGGCTGAGGCAAGAGAATCGCTTAAGCCCAAGAGTTGGAGGTTGCTGTGAGCTGTGATACCATCGCATTCTACCAAGGGCGACAAAGTGAGACTCTGTCTCAAAAAGAAAGATAGGAAGGAAGGAAGGAAAGAAGGAAGGGAGGAAGGAGAAAAGGGAGGGCAAGGAAATGGATAGGAAATGTGTGGGAGGGTGAAGAGTGCAGTTTTTGTAATAGGGTTATCCAGGGAGGCCTCTTTGGTGTCCCATACACTACCATAGCTCTGATGACCAAGAAATTTACATTAGGGTGAAAGAAGTTTGAAAATGGGCTCATGCCTTTGGAATCCACCATGTTTATCCTGGCCCTGTTACTCCAATAGATGGCAGTGAGGTCTACTGAAGGCTCAGTCATGACACCAGCTAAGAGACCCTGTGAGATCAGGATGTCATTCAACAAAATGCATGAAAACTAAGAGTGGAGATGGTGCTGTTTCCTTGTGTTTTCCATCTAATGGCCCATTCAGGAGAGTTTTGTTTCCATCTGCACAACACTGGGCTCACTGGATTCTGAGATGATAGTACCCAAGTGGTTCCCTATAATCCCAAGAAACAGTCATGATTCTGGTAAATTGGAAACTGAGTCCACTTCCTGGCTATTTGGGGATTTTCATTCACTGAACCAATAGAGAGAAGAGTTACTCTTCTGGCTGTAATAATAGATTCTGATGAACAGGGGAAAATTGGGTGGCTGCTCAAAATAAGATCAAGAAGAACTGTGAGTAGAACCCAAGGTATTCACTTCAGCATCTGTTTATGTGACTTTGTCCGGTAACAGCCCATAGGAAACCATGTTAACCACTGAAGATATTGTTCCTACCTTGTATCTTGATTTTAGTCGTTGGTTATAATGGCACTGACATATGCATCTGCCCATATAATGGAATCAAGATGTAGGGCTTGGTGGCACCTGTGGCTCAGTGAGTAGGAGCCCGACCCCATATACTGAGGGTGGCAGGTTCAATCCCAGCCCTGGCCAAACTGCAACCAAAAAATAGCCAGGCATTGTGGTGGGTGCCTGTAGTCCCACCTACTGGGGAGGCTAAGGCAAGAGACTCGCCTAAGCCCAAGAGCTGGAGGTTGCTGTGAGCTGTGATGCCACAGCACTCTACCAAGGACAATAAAGTAAAACTGTCTCTAAACAAAAAAAAAGGCATAGGGCAGTTCTAGTACTCCAGTGGCCTCCTGTGCCCAGCTATTTTGCTCCAATCTCCCACCAGAGGTAACCACTCTTCTTCATATTTCTGAACTTCATATAAACTAATTCATACAGAATGTGCTCTTTTGTGTCTGTTTTTCACTCAGTATTCACTCAATATTACTCAATATTATGTCTGTGAGATTCATCCCTGGAGTATGTCTTTTCCATTGCTATTGCTGTGTAGTGTTCTTTTGGGTGAATATACCATAATTCATGTATTTATTTTATTATAGAAGGATATAATAAGTTTTTTTGTTATTATGAATAACAGCTAGAGTGCTGTGTTGTCATCGAAGCTCAGTACAATCTCAAACTCCTGGGCTCAAGTGATTCTCCTGCCTCAACCTCCCCAGTAGCTGGAACTACAGGAGTACCATACCACACTCGTCTAGTTTTTCTAACCTTTGTAGAGATGGATGCCTCACTCTTGCTCAGGCTAGTCTCTAACTCCTGGCCTCGAGTGATCCTCTTGCCAGTGTCTCCCAAAGTGCTAGGCGTACAGGTGTGAGCCACTGCACCCCATCTATGAACATTCTTATATATGTCTTTTGGTGAAAATATGCACTAATTTCTATTGAGTACATACCTAGAAATAAAATGCCTAAATCATAGGGAATATACGTGTTTAACTTTAAAAGAAAACAAAAGGCGTAGGAAAGTTTTCCGGAGTAGTTCAAACAATTTATACTTCTATCAGTATATGAGAATTCCAGTTGAGTTACATTGTTGCTCACAACATTTGGTATTGTCAGTTGTTTTAATTTTAGCCAATTTTATGGATGCTTAATAATATCCCACTTGCTTTTAATTTGCATTTTCTTAATGAGTATTATGATGACCACCTTTTCAGGTGCTCATTAGCCATTTTGATATCCTCCTTTGTGTATTGCCTGTGTTCCAGTATTTTGCCCATTTAAAAAAAGATGTCTGTATTTTTCTTATTAATGTGCAGAAATTCTTTCAATATGCTGGATAAAAGTCTCCTGTAAAAAAAAAATACAGTATGTATTGCAAATATATGTATCCTATTCTGAGGCTTGCATTTCAGTATTTCTTAATGGTCTCTTGATGATCAGATGTTCTGATGAAGACAACTCTTTTATTTTGTGGTTGGTACTTTTGGTTTATTTTTTGTTTGTTTTTAAAGTTGAGGAGAGTGGATAGGGGAGAGCTGGTAGTTTGGTTGGTACTTTTTAAAGTACTTACTAGAAGAAGTTGCTTACTTGGAATCATGAAGGTGTCCTCTTAGGTTTCCTTCGTGTAACTTTATTGTTTTTAACATTTCACATTGAGGACTATGATGGAGCTCAGATTAATTTCTGAAGGTGTGAGGAGAGGGCAATTTGTTCCTTTTATTGAAAAGCCTATCTTTTCCTCAATAATTTTCAATGCATTCTTGATTCTGTGGCTAGAATTAACTTCCCTAAACACACATTTGATTATGCCGTTATCTGTCTTCAGTGGCAGCTCATTGCTGTTTGGATAATAATTAAGTTTTTTACTTAATGCATCTTAACAATATTCAGCTTGATCTGGCCACCTCCTGTTTCTCCAGCCAATCTTGTCTGTGTTTATCTTCCTGCTCTAAGCTGACTATAAAGTTCCTTGAGCAGGTCAACTCTCCCCCACAGACCTTTGCCATACAGAGCACTTCCATCCCTTAGGCCAGTTACTCAAACTTAAGGTGTCATCTCCAGGAAGTCTGATTGCACACTTCCCATCCCTAAGTCTAGGCTATAGTAACCTCAGTATGTGTGTGCTTTGTACCCCTGCATTGTAATTATAATTAAACATCTCCAATTGTAACTTCTCTGAGGGAAAGAAGGAGGTCAATTTACTTCATATAAAAAATGCTTCCTAAATATTGCTCAATGAATGAATAAATCTAAAGTGCGATCTCCCGGAGACCCAGCCTTAGAGAAACAGGGCATTGCCAGTCTCAGAGCTAGCACTTGGGAAACGGATTATTTCTGAGCCTCTGTTCTCAAATCTGTAAAATGGAGATCTGACACTCCCTACATAGAGTGCAGTAAGCATCAAATAAGATAATGCACCTAAATATTTAAGGTAATGACTATCACATGTGCCCTCTTGGGGTTAAGATGAGATCACCGACGTTGCTCTTCCCCATGCGCATGCGCGGCTACCGCCGCGATCGCAACCAAACCGTGCTACGCGTGCGTTGAGTGCTCGACCGGAACCCTGGCCCAGGCCAGAGGTAAAGGGGGCGGGACGTCAGCAGTGCGCCTGCGGCTTGAGAGACCGTGAGCCACGGGGGCGGGACCGCGCAGGCGTGCGTAGCTCCCAGACGCTGGAGCATAAACAAGAGTGAGGACGGGATGAGGCGGCGGTTGATCCCGGGACGGCAAGCGGCGGCGACCGAGGCGACAAGCGGGGCCCGGCACCGACCCTGAGCGCACCCCGACCCACCTCGTGGGCGCGTGCCCCCGGCCGGGCCGACCCGCCCGCCAGCCACGCGCCCAGCCATGAACCTGGCGAGTCAGAGCGGGGAAGCTGGCGCTGGCCAGTTGCTCTTCGCTAACTTCAACCAGGACAACACGTAAGGCCGGGCTGGGGTCGGGCCTACGGGGGGCGCCTCGCTGTCTCTTGCCGCCTGGAGCTCGCGCCGAGCTCGGCGGGGTCGCAGGTTCGGCCTTCTGGCGGGCAGCGACAGACAGGAACGTCCCTGGGGGCGGGGCCGGGTCACGGAGGGAGGGGTGTCCTCCTGGGAGACCCTCGGGCGCTGCCCTGGTGCTGCGTCCTCCGCGCGGAGGACGTGTTGGTGCGGGGGTATTCTCATTTGCTGGCAGGGAGGGCTCTTTCTTCAGATCTCACTTATTACAAAGTCACATTAGAACTTTGTGGCTTAGCCTGTGGTCCTGGCTGCCTGTGGAGCGGTGCGAGTGGGTTGCTTCCTTTTCTCCCACTCTCCAACTCTTCTCGTCAGGCCCTCCTTGTCTCATCATCTTGGGACCCTTTTCTCCTCTTTCATTTTCTTTTTTTCCTTTCTCACTGTTCCTTTTGGCAGGTAACTTTGTTATCTTCTCTGGGTAAGGAACAAATTTAGCAGTAATCCTGGCATCCATGCCATTCTCTCTGGCATCCGAGCTAGAGAGAAAACTAAACTAAAAGAGATGTTAACAGAGAAGTGCATGCTCTTTGGTGTTTCAGGGGGTGGGTCGTCATTAGGGCAAGAGAGTACCTTAATGCCGACCCATGGGCTCTGAACATTGTCTCAACCGGTATGGGTTGGAAGCTCATTCTTCACTTGTTGCCTCTGATGACCTGTGAGGATAGGTAAAAGATGAGGTTTCTGAAGAATGAAGATGAGTTATAGGGCTGGAAGGTAGGAGAGCCATCTTCGGAAGTGAATAAGAGGAAGTGATGTAAGAGGAGGAATGGGTCATTTGGCATCTTACTAAGTAGTTGATTGAGTGTTATTGGCTGGAAGGAATTAACAAAGTAGAAAATGAGATTTTTTAAATTAATTAAAGTTATTTGTAGAACGGCATACACCCAATCAGTAGTATGTGGTGGGTGCTCAATAGCACATTTCCAAAGTTGGGAAACTAGTGACGGTTCCACAGTGGGGCTGTACTGAAAGTTGGAAGGGGCCAAATCACCTATTTCAACTACAGATGAGAAACTGAAGTATACAAACTTTCAGAGCTCACGCATATGATTAGTACCCGAATTGTCAGGAGTGGAATTAAGTCCCCTGAGCTCTCTCCCAGTGTTCTCTCCACTTTGTCATGCCTTTTTTTTTTTTCTGCCTACAGAGTAGGATTCTGTAGAAATCATAATGTAGCAATTTTTAAAGATTAAAACTACCAAATACTGGCTCCACACCTATAGCTCAGTGGCTAGGTCGCTGGCCACATACACCAATGCTGGTGGGTTTGAACGTGGCCCGGACCTGCCAAACAACGACAGCTACAACAACAAAACAAATAGTGAGGCATTGTGGTGGGCACCTATAGTCCCAGCTACTTGAGAGGCTGAGGCAAGAGAATCGCTTAAGCCCAAGAATTTGACGTTGCTGTGAGTTGTGATGCCATGGCACTCTACCTAGGGCGACAAAATGAGACTCTGTCTCCAAAAAGAAAAACTACCACATACTGTCGTGTTCTATGTGACCAAAACCAGCATAACAAAAATAGTTCAGACAACCTGTTGCGGTTTATTATAGTTGGTATAGATAGTGTTAATCCAGGAGGGAAGAGGAAATTCCAAAGCAATTATGATTTAGTATTTAAGCTCTTAGTATTCTGAGAACAGTAAAGAATGGTTGTATTACCAGATTTTATGCCTTGTATTAATTAGAGAATTTCCAAAACATTTTCCAACACTTGTTTTTTGCTACCTGTTATTTATATTAGAAATCAAACCTAGGGAAGCACTTCAGTTGGGCTACCTAGTTCCTTGTATAATACATGTCAAAGACTGTCACTCCATTTGGCCTGAAATAGGACCTTTTCTTTCACACTTGGAAATTATTTGCTTACCCATTGCCCTGTGAGTCCTGAAGTTATTAGTTCAAGAGGTTTATGTCATTAATTTTGACTTGCCAAAGAGACCTGGACATAGTATAAACATAAATTGGAATGAATGGTAAGTTAGGATTATAGTAAAAGTTTACTGGATTAATGTAATTTGTCTTAAATCTACTCTTGAAAGAAATACGAAAGTTCTTTGGGAAAGGCTTTATGGTTTTTTTCTCACCCTTCTCATCCAGAATTTAATAGAGGAGTACAATTTTTAGCAAAACAAAGAATGTTGGTCTAAATTAACATTTACTGTGTTTAGTGAGAAAATTTGGAAGCCAGTTCGTTTAATCTGATATATGTATATTATATCCTTTCACTTTATCTTTTGTCTTTTAAATTCCTTACGACACAGTATTCATTGCATATCAAGCTGTAACTGTCCACCTTTTTTCTTGTACTAGTAATATGATTTCAAATGTTGTATTTTTTCATGGTTCTTATCCTAAAAGTATGAATAAGTTTTATTTACTTTTTACCATTTTTTTTTTCTACCTAGAGCAGTGAAAAGGGCACCAAGAGCAGCTGGTCCCCGTCATCTCGCTGTATCCTGGTTAGTTCCAATCCTGGTTTCTGAAAGTAACACCTTGGAAGGCTTTGTTGGAGAACTTCGTGGCTTTTTGAATTTGAAGTTAAGCAATTAATAAGTGGAGGAGTGTCGCTTCAGTCTTAAATGGAAATATCAGGGACTAAATTTTTCCACTAGATACCACAGCTTGTGAGAAGTTAGTGATGTAGCAATGTCTGTTTTAAATGTCATTTCTAGAGGGGATAGAAGAGAGGACTTGACTTTTCAAGTCTGTTTGTAGAGTTGATGTTACGGAGTGTCTGGTGATACTAAGAGAAATCTATCTCAATGTATTGCTTTCTTCAAGTATGTCCCTTTTAGTTCACAGCATTGTTCTAGGAAGGTACTGACTGCTCTGCTCTCCTCCCTCTCCTTGTGTAAATCAAAGATGGTTTTTAAGGATCCTTTAACCTTAAAGTTTCATTCTGCCTGCTGTGCAGATGTTTGAAGAGAGCAGGAGATCATTTAGAAAAAAGATTATCCAATGGTAGTGGCCAATGGAAAGGAGACTAGTCATCAGGACTTAGGTGACCCAGTGCACATGTATGATGCATTCAAAGGAAAGATTAGATGACTCCCTGGGTCTGCCTTGGGTTCCTGGTGAATAGTGATAACATTATGGGAGAAAAATTAGTGAAGGATTCAGTTCAAGGGGAAAGATGAACTGTGCTTGGGATAATAGTGACATTGAAAGTCCTTAGAGATATCCAGGTGGAGCTTTGGGATAGAGAGGATGTGAAGGGGATGAAGGGGGCTGTTCCCCTAAGTGAGGATGCCAGGGTCTACCAAGTCTTGGCCTAGTTGGGCCCAACTTGGCAGCCCCAGTTTGGGTTGCTTCCTGTTTACGTGTTGGACTGTTCCTCTCTCATGGTCAAGTATGCCTTTTTCAGGAAGAAGACAATGAAAAGGGAGAACCTTTACAGACGAATGATTGGGAACATGGTGGAGAAAAGATAAAGGAGTTAAGAAAAACATCAGGGCCAGGCACGGTGGCTCATGCCTGTAATCATAGCACTCTGGGAGGCCGAGGAAGGGGGGATGCTTGAGCTTAGAAGTTTGAGACCAGCCTGAGCAAGAGCAAGATCCCATCTCTACTAAAAATAGAAAAAGTAGTCAGGTATGGCAGGCGCCTATGGTCCCAGCTACTTGGGAGGCTGAGGCAGGAGGATGATTTGAATCCAGAAGTTTGAGGTTACTGTGAGCTGGGCTGACACCACTGTACTCTAGCCTGGGGCAACAGAGTGAGACTTTGCCCCCCCCCCAAAAAAACCCAAAAAACAAAAAAACTCAGTTTCACATTTCCTTTTTATTGGTGGAAATTACTATCTTTTACATGTTGAATGCTCAAGTTTGAATTTATTGACAAAAGCTTTTCAATTAAAGATGGTGGATCAAAACACAAGCATTTATTTTGGCTCCATCCCAAAACTTTAATAAAATGTCAAAAAGATATTTTAAAGGGCTTAACCTGTAGGGTGGGGAGAATGAGAAAGGAGGTTGTGGCAACAAAATTTGGAAGCTAGCATGTGGTAAAGGAAGCTGGATCTCAAATGGCTAATAGAGAAAGCAGAGAACCAGCCTATTTGAAACTGCAGAATCCCAGAAAGGCTCAGGGGTTGGCAGACCAGGGCATATCTAGAAGTGGGGACAAGGGGCACGTAAGATAAAAATAAAGAGGAGTGGTTCAGTGTGTGTTTAAGACACATTTGCTCATTCTTCCTCCCTAGCAAGAACCAGGCTAGTCTCTGGAGAGGGCAGAACAGGGGCTCTGGATTTGAACACCAGACACAGTAGGGGAGGGAGGTCAGAGTATAATGTAGAGGGCTGTAAATAAAGACATCTGGTTTTGGTTATAATTTGCTAGTTTTCCCTTTATCAGTCAGAGATCCCGTTGTGTTAACTTAAAAACCACATAAACATTTGTTGACAGTAAGATTGTTTATTAGGGAAAATCTCATCTGTTACTCTGCTTCTCCCATTAATATGTCTGCCATATGGTCAGGCTAATCTTGAGTAATTATTAGAAGCACAGTCTCCAAAGGGATGTGTGAACTTGATTGTTGGTATTGAAATGAAAATATCAAGTCATATGTCATTGTTTTAAAAGGCCTGTCTTTATTAATAAAGTACATACTCAATAGTATACTATATATACATTTCAAAAAAATATTTGGAACATTTTTGTGTCCATTTCTTACTGGCTAGAGTGCACAGTTTTGTAGACTGGGTAAATTCTACCTGAGGTTTTTATTTTATTTATTTATTTTGGAGACAGTCTCATTATGTCATCCTCAGTAGAGTGCTGTGGTGTCACAGCTCACAGCAACCTCAGACTCTTGGGCTTAAGATTCTCTTGCCTTAACCTCCCAAGTAGCTGAGACTACAGGTGCCCGCCACAATGCCCAGCTATTTTTTTGTTGCAGTTGTCATTGCTGTTTAGCAGGCCCAGGCCGCCAGGTTCGAACCCACCTGCCTCGGTGTATGTGGCCGGCTCCCTAACCTCTGAACTACGGGTGCTGATCCTAGCTGAGGTATTTAATATGCTAAATCAGTTTCTAAATATCTAGAATAACAACAAACTTGATTGACAGAGCCTGGTTTTAAATACCTTCTACCCCTGTGGAACACAGCTGAGAACCTGAGGTCTCAAAACTTAACATCAGGTCCTAGGGCTCATTAATTTTGCCCAGGGGAGAGGCCTTCTCTAAGCTTATTTCATACATAATGCTAATAAGCGTGGTGATTTGGTTTCCAAGTTAACAAGAAGTTAGAAAAAGGGAGAATGGTCACCAGGAAGATTAACAATTGACAGCAAAATAAAAACAGAAAAATACTTTTACAACAGCACTCCAATATGGCCATTTGCTGTGGGGTACATGAAACCCTCAACTTAGAAGAATCTGCTATCCCCTTGTTTAAGAACATAAGAAAGAGGCTGGGCATGGTGGCTCATGCCTGTAATCCTAACCCTCTGGGATGCCTACACAGGTGGATTGCCTGAGCTCACAGGTTTGAGACCAGCTTGAGCAAGAGCAAGACCCCATCTCTAAAAATAGTCAGGCATGTGCCAGACAGCTGTAGTCCCAGCTACTTGGGAGGCTGAGGCAGGAGAATCACTTGAGCCGAAGAATTTGAGGTTGCTGTGAGCTGTGATGCCACAACACTTTACCAAGTGCAACAAAGTGAGACTCTGTCTCAAAAAAGAAAAAAAAGAGAGAGAGATAAAGAACATAGAAAAGTATACAACGTAAGGATGATTTGCTTTTTAATCAAAAATGGTAGATGGGCTCGGCGCCTGTGGCTCAGGTGGCTAAGGCACCAGCCATACACACCTAAGGTGGCAGGTTCGAATCCAGCCCAGGCCCGCCAAACAACAATGATGGCTGCAACCAAAAAAAATAGCCGGGCGTTGTGGCAGGCGCCTGTGGTCCCAGCTACTTGGGAGGCGGAGGCAGGGGACTTGCTTGAGCCCAGGAGTTGGAGGTTGCTGTGAGCTGTGATGCCATGGCACTCTATCCAGGGGGATAGCTTGAGGCTCTGTCTCCAAAAAAAAAAAGAATGGTAGATGGAGGAGGTTGGTGCTTAAAAATAGCAATCTTTAGTTATCTGGAAAATATTTCCCTATCGGTTTCTTAAGAGTTCTGGTGAGCCACAGGTGCCGCTCTATTCTTGTGTTTTTTGTTGGTTCTTTTATTACTTCACAAAATTTACAGGTAATAATAATTCATTGATATAATTAATTCAATATAGTGAAGTAACTTTTTGCAAAGAAAAAATGGATGGTAGAGTTTTGTTTCTATTCTTTTATGCTCCTAAGATGAACCAATGTAATTTTAAATATTAATAGTGACTATAGCCACTCCCTTCTTGGAATATTTCTTTCACATATGTGTGAAAATAGTTGGAAAAATCAAGCTTTTAGTAGATAGCCTGATCATTAAAATAGCTCTAATATTAGGGTATGAATACTCAAAGTAAGAAACGTCTGTCTTCATTATTTTCCAGTCTTCTGGTTTATCTACTTGTTTTCATGTTCTCCCAGGTGTTAAAAACAAAATGATCGTAGTATCTGATTCCTCCCTCGTCCTACTGCTTCCTGCTTAATTCTTTCATCCTTTTCTGAAAAACTGGACTTTCTGCATCCCTTGGTTAGTTGCATTCTGCAGAGAGGTTATTTTCTCTGATCAAGATTTAGTGTCACGGATCCCCTGTGCTAGAAGGGCTGTGAACTCTTGAGTTCCTTGAGCCTATTAGCAGAAGCAGTGGTGTTGGGTGATTGATATGGAATCTTAAACGTGAGTCTCAGGATGGATCCTTTGCTTTTCCCTTAAAAGCCAACAATGCAGTCTTCTGATTCCAGATTCTAAGTTAGCTTTTTGGACCCTTTTCATTTCCACCCTACTTCTCAGCCAAAGCACAGTGTAAGTGATGGAACCATTGTTAATAAAGGCTTACTGATATTCACCTGCCTAGATTGTAAATATCGTTGTTTAAAATTTAAAATACTGGCTTATTTAGCTTTCCAGCTCTCATACATACTGTGCTTGTATATCACATCACCTGAAATGCCATAGTTTTGTTTTGAGGGAACCAATAATGTAGGGCTCATTCCTTTCATTTGTATCTCAAACTTTAAGGTTTTATAGGGTTTTTTGTTTTTTAAATATTCCCAGCTTTATTGGAATATAATTGACAAAATTATATACATATATGGTATGTCACATGATGTTTTGACATATGTTGTGAAGGGATTACCACAGTCAAACTAATTCATATGTCAGTCACTTCATAGTTACCTTCTTTTTGTGGTGAGAACACTTAAGATCTATTATGTTAGCAGATTTCAATTGTACATATTCATCACTAGAAGAAAGTTGCATAGGTTTTAAATAATATTGTCTGTATTTTATTGACCTTGTAACATCTTCTTGTGTTATGCACCTGGTATAAACTATGTGAAATTCTATTTTCTGTGCTAATTTTTGGTAGGCATGGATAGTAACTGGTAACATGGGAGCTAGTTTGTGCATTATCGCTGTCAACATGTATCAGCTCTTATTTCTGAATTTGGCTTTTTTGCAGGTCCCTAGCTGTTGGTAGTAAGTCCGGTTATAAATTTTTCTCCCTTTCTTCTGTGGATAAGCTGGAACAGATCTATGAATGCAGTAAGTGCTTGCTTTATTTTCTGCTTTTTAAAAAAGACAAATTGTACTTGAATTAGAATGCAGCCTTAAACTCAAACACTAATTTCTAAACACCCCTTGATCAGTCCTTTACTTCCACTTTAATCTCCCCTAAAGGTGAAATCTTGCAAGTCTATGGATGTTCTCACAGATCTGTCTGGGTATTTGCATACATATAAATGTATATATAGAAAGAGTTTTGTTTTATAGGTGATCTTTTCCAGTACTTCACATCATAGTGTATATATTATCCTATAATTTTCCCCCTTTTTAATGCCATTTAAACCATTTAGATTACTGTCTTAAAGGGCTTCCAGAAAACTGAAAATTTTACAATCCTTGTAGGAATGATTTATTTTCTTGAGTTGTCATTTCATGGCATCTGCGTAGCCTGGGTGTCTGGCATTGTGGAATAGTGGGTGGGCCATGAGCTCTGGCTTTTTGCTCAGTCATTCATGCATGATTTTAAATGGGTTACTTCATCTCCGGGCCTCAATTCACTTTTACTTTTTGCAAAACAGTAATAAGTCCTGTCTTAAGATTGTTGCTAGGATTAAAATTTTGTATGTGTGTTCTTAACAATGTGTAAAACAGTCCTTGCAGAATAAATTAGTAGTAGGTGCTGTGAGTCTCCATTGAGACTGTGTGGAAGGCTCTCTACTCTTCCCTCATACATAATTTTTCATTAAATTGACGCGCAGTTGTATGAAATAATACAAAATCCTTGTACCCTTTGCCTGGTTTCCCCCAATGGTAACATTTTCCAGACGATAGGAAAATATCACAACCAGGACACTGACATCCATCTCTCCTGTTCACTCATCTCAGGTATTAGTTGTACTCCTTTGTGCATGTGGATTCTGTACAGTCTAACACCTATGTGGATTCTTGTATCAACCAAGATCAAGATCCTAGGGAGTTGCAGCACCACAAATATACCTTCTGTTGCCGTTTTTTAATGGCCTGAACCCCCTCCCCCTATCGCCATGCCACCCCACCCCTAATCCCTGGCAGCTGCTAATCTGTCCTCCATTTGTAAAACTTTGTTGTTTCAAAAATGTTAGATAAATGCAAGTATATAACCTTTTGTTTGTAACTGGCCTTTTTCAGTCAGCATAATTCCCTGGAAGTTCATCTAAGCTATTGTGTGTGTCAAGAGTTTATTCTTTTTATTACCACAGAGTATTCCATGGCTTTATGTGCCACAGCTTATTTTAACTTTTCCCCGTTAAAAGACATATGGGCTGATTCCAGTTTTTGGCTTTTTCAAATAAAGCTGTTATTTGTATACAGGTTTGTTTTTGTTTGTTTGTTTTGTTTGAGACAGAGTATCCCTTTCTTGCCCTGGTAGAATGCTGCAATGTTATAACTCACAGCAACCTCAAACTCTTGGGCTCAAGTGATCCTCTTGCCTCAGCCTCCTGAGTAGCTGGGACTACAGGTGCCCACCACAACACCTGGCTATTTTTTGGAGATGGGGTCTGGCTCTTGCTCAGGCTGGTCTCGAACTCATGAGCTCAAGCAATCCACCGACCTTAGCCTCCCAGAGTGCTAGGATTACGTGACCTCTGCACCCAGCCCCTAGATCAGTGGTTCTCAACCTGTGGGTCGTAACCCACAGGAACTGTATTGAAGGGTCACGGCATTAGGAAGGTTGAGAACCACTGCCCTAGATTTTTTTATGTACAGGTTTTTGTGTGAACCTAAGTTTTCATTTCTCTAGAGATAAATACCCAAGAGTGCAACCCCTAGATCTCATAGGAGTTATATGTTGCGAAATTGCCAAACTGATTTCTAGGGTGTCTGTACCATTTGACATTCCCAGCAGTAATGTATGAGTGTAATCAACTTTCTCTGTGTCTTTGCCACCATTTACCATTATCATAATTTTCTTCAGCCATTCTGACAGGTATGTGCAGTGCTGTCTCATTATAGTTGTGTTAATAATTTGTTTCCCTAATGATTGATGATGTTAAAAGTCATTTCCTTCTTTTTTTTGAGACAGAACCTCAAGCTGTCCCCCTGGGTAGAGTGCCATGGCATCTCAGCTCACAGCAACCTCCAACTCCTGGGCTTAAGCGACTCTCCTGCCTCAGCCTCCTAAGTAGCTGGGACCACAGGCGCCTGCCACAACACCTGGCTATTTTTTTGGTTGCCATCGTTGTTTTGGCGGGCCCAGGCTGGATTTGAACCCACCACCTTAGGTGTATGTGGCTGGAGTCTTAGCCACTTGAGCCACAGGCGCCAAGCTGTCATTTCCTTCTTATTTGCCATCTGTGTATCCTCTTTAGTGAATTGTCTCTTTGTGTTTTTGATGTCGAGTTTTGAGTGTTCCTTTTTTTGTTTTTTGTTTTTTTTTGAGACAGTCTCTTGCCCCAGGCTAGAGCGCCATAGCATCAGCCTAGCTCACAGCAACCTCAAACTTCTGGGTTCAAGCAGTCCTCTTGTCTCAGCTTCCTAAGTAACTGGGACTATAGGTATCTGCCATAATACCCAGCTATTTTTTTTCTATTTTTAGTAAAGACAGGATCTCACTCTTGCTCAAGCTGCTCTCTATCTCTTGAGCTCAAGCATTCCTCCTGCCTTGGCCTCCCAGCTAGGATTACAGGCATGAGCCACCACACCCAGCTTTGAGAATTCTTTCTATATTCTAGATACTAGTCTTAGGTCAGATAATGTGGCTTGTAAATATTTTCTCCTCCTCTGCATATAATATTTCAAACAAACTCGGGCCTTCCCATGGCCTGACCTAAGTTTAAGAATCTTTGTTACAGGGAGTGAGGAGTTCAGTAGTCATAATATTCTTCTTTATTTTTTTTTTGGAGACAGAGTATCACCTTGTCACCCTTGATAGAGTGCCATGGTGGCACAGCTCACAGCAACCTCCAACTCTTGGGCTTAGGCAATTCTCTTGCCTCAGCCTCCTGAGTAGCTGGGAATATAGGGGCCCGCCACAATACCAGGCTATTTTTTGTTGCAATTTGGCCAGGGCTGATTTCAAACCCACCACCCTTGGCATAGGGAGCCGGTACCTACTCACTGAGCCACAGGCGCTGCCCTATAATATTTTTCTTATAATTAGTCATACTGTAATGTGGGTTCAGGGAGTTAATCTTTATCACTTTAATTATCTACAGGAGGTTTTGGGGAAGTGGGTTTCCTCATTGACAGTGCCAGTATTTCCTTCCTAAGTTTTATCAACTTTGCCTGCACTGTGGTTTGGTGTTACATTTTGAAATTTTACTTTTCCTATTGATACCTCTTGAACGAGGAGGTTCTTTGAGTTAATGTGAATAGTCATCTCATATTCATTCCTGTTTCTGTTCACTCAGTGTGCATTTACATGCTGGCCCCACTCAAGCTGCTAGAGAGCAGTATTCATAAAGCTCCTACTCTCATGACACTTGCCTTAAAGTATAGGAGGACCAAAAGTAAATATATTTGTGTCAAATAATAGGCCTGGGATACAATGGCAAGCACAGACAGACATAGATAACTCCCCGATGACATGAGATGAAGGCACTGGGGGAAAGTCATTTCTGGCAGGGCATGGTGCCTCACGCCCTTAATTTTAGCAATCTGAGAGGCTGAGGTGGGTGGATCACCTGAGCTCAGAAGTTCAAGACCATCCTATAACAAGTGTGAGACCCCTACCCATCTCTACTAAAAATAGAAAAACTAGTTGGGCATTGTAGTGGGTGCCTATAGTCCCAGCTACTCAGGAGGCTGAGGCAATAGGATGGCTTAAATCCAAGAGTTTAAGATTGTTTATCTTAAACTATGGCACTCTACCTAGGGTGGTAGAGTCAGACTCTATCTCAAATTTTTAAGAAAAGTCATTTCTAGGGGGGCGCCTATGGCTCAGCTAGTGGGGCGCTGGCCCTACATATACCAAGGGTGGTGGGTTCAGACCCAGCCCTGGCCAAACTGCAACCAAAAATAGCTGGGCATTGTGGCGAGCTCCTGTAGTCCCAGCTACTTGGGAGGCTGAGGCAAGAGAATCACCTAAGGCCAGGAGTTGGAGGTTGCTATGAGCTATGTGATGCCTTAGCACTCTTTAGAGGGCAATAAAGTGAGTAAAGGGTAAAAAAAGAAAAGAAAAGTCATTTCTTTGTGCCAATTACTTAGAATTACGGAGTTCTGGCCCACCAGGAGGTGAGGAGCCATTCAGGCTCCTTCCCAGGCCCTAGCCTCCTCTCTTATCAGTGGAATGCGCCTACCTCTCCCCAACCGTCCCTTTCTTGTTATTGCCCCCAAAAGCAAGCACCCAGGTCCTTTATAGCAGGGGTCCTCAAACTTTTTAAACGGGGCCAGTCACTGTCCTTCAGACCATTGGAGGGTCGGACTGCTGGCCCCTGGGAGGAGTCGGCTGCTAAGTAGGACAGGCAACGGCAGCAAAAACACCTAGCGGGCCGGATAAATATCCTAGGTGGGCTGGATGTGGCCCGTGGGCCGTAGTTTGAGGATGCCTGCTTTATAGGGAGAGAGTAGGGAGCAGAATTCTTATAGTCAGTGTTCCTGACTCATGGTTCCTACTGGCTAAGACTGTACTCCGTTTCTTGTCTTTAGACTTGCCTTCCAGTGCTTACTGAATCTTCCCCAAGAGCCTTTCCTCTACAGTATAGGCTGGAAGGTGTGATCTGGATGATAAAATAGATATGAACTAGAGCTGCTTTATTTCAGGTGGGTGTCAGTGTTCCTGAGGGTCTCTGTACTGGCTGCCTGCCTGCCCATGAGCCCACGTGGATTGTTTCCTGCAGGGTATTTCTTCAAAGAGGATAGTTCTATCTCTGGAAAAAGGGTTCCTTTGGCCTCTTATGAGTGACTGAAACATTTAAGTCTGTATCCAAATGAAGGGCCTGAATTATACTATTAAATTGTTGGGTGTAGTCATTATAGTCATCTGTTGTGAAATCCACTTAGAAAGCATGTGAAGATACCCAAATCTGCTCTTTACTGTCCTCAAACTGAAGTTTGTTTAT